TGATTAGGTCTAGACTAGCTTGCTGGAAAATGAGAGACATGTAGAGGAGAGCCCAACTGTCCCAGCTGAGGCCATCCAAGACCAGTCTACATTTAACCCATCCCTGAACATGTGAAAGGTCCCAGGTATCAGTCAATTGCTTTCTAGAACAGATGTAACAAAGGATAACATTCTGACTGGAGGGGACAGAATAAGGCCCGCCAGCATTCCAGGATCTGAGAACAACATGGGCAAAAGAAAAGTTGAAAAAACGTGGGGTGTGTTTACAGAACAATGAGTAGTCCATTTTGATTACAGACCAGCTGTGCTTAAGCAGTTAGTGAGAAATAAATCTGGAGAAGGAAGGTACTCTGGCTTTGTAGTTTTTACCCAAATTAGTAATTGTTGAGAAGCCTTTATATGTATAACATATTCATTTTCTCATCACAGTATCATAAGGAAAATGTTATGATTTCAGTTACAGAAAAGAGGCCCAAGGTCCGGATTTGAATATAGGCAATCTGACCCTAGAGCCTGCCTTATCCACTTACCACAAAATTGTAATGGAGAAACTGAAGGTGCAGGGAACAGTTGTGAAGATAGAGCTATTGGCCAAGAAAGAAACTGTGAGGACCTGACCTGAGGAAGTGGCAGTGGAGACAGACAGGAAGCCAGAGCTGTGAAGAACAGAGCAAGAGCTGGTCTGCAAGTCTCGGCAGGGGACTGGGTGACCAAGGTGAGGAACAAGGGGAGTGACAGGGGAATGCTACGATCATGAGCCCAGGTTGACTGGGAGAAAGATTGGCAGCATCGTCTGATACTCAGTGCAGAGACTGGCTCAAACCTGTTCATTCTGAAATGCCTATTGGGGTGAACATATGGAGAACTGCAAGTAGATTGAATGAAGCACAGAGTGAAGGCATGAGAAACATGTTTGGGGTCATCCGTGGAGAGCTAAACCTCAATTTTCTCACTTATAAAATGAAGATGTTGCATTAAATGCTGTTGAATTTTATCCAGCATTAAAAACAGATAGAATTTCTGTGAATGAATGTCCACTGAGTTTTGCTTAAAAGTGATTTTGTTGGTAATCAGTTGTGAATAAATGTAATAAACTTGGATATTGTTTCATTCAACAATATGGAATTTTCTCCCATTTGAAACTTTTACTGAGAATTAAGATTTTGTTAGTCTCATATCTATAAGCTTTTGAAAATCTAGGAGTTCCGGTCAAGATGGCGGAAGAGATGGTCCCCAGCATCACTCCCTCCCACAAATCAATAAATTTACAAATCTAAAAATTTAACATCAGCCAAGCTGGGGCTGCTAGAGCTCAGGTAAAGAGGAGGAGAGACCTATGGAACTCATGAAGGTGGCAGAAACCACGATGAGAGAAAGAAAAAACAGCTCTCAGCATTTCAGGCTATGGCCACTTTAATGCTGGAGCGCATGGAGCAGGAGCAAGAACCAGCAGAAGCCGCCGCGGTGCCCTTTAGATGGAGTTGCTTGGAGGTGGAAAAGGAGAAAGGGACTTTGGTCACTCCCAGGACAGCAAGATCACTAATAGGGTTCCCATGGACCTACGCAGGAGCGAGGAGCCAGAACAGCTGAAAAAGGGGAGCCATTCAGAGGCCAGTGAGTCAATGCAAGGGACCAGCATAGGGCCTGTCCATGGAAGTGTTTGGAGCACAGGCAGTGGGGGACACAGGCCCACGGGGAGAACACTGAGACACAGCAAGGACAGCCGACCTGCCCCCAATCAGCACAGCAGACTGGTCAAGGATATAGAATTGTATCGGGTACAGTTTGATGAGAAAACTCAGGCCCAGACCAGAGTTTCTACACAACCCAGGTGCATTGAGTATCTGGAGAGCCAGAAGTACCTACAAAGTCAACCATTAAACCCTGAGCTGCACAAAAACCCTTCCCTAGGGAAACAGCAGCAAAGCAGCAATTTAGCTCAACCACACAGCTCAAGTACTGGTTCCCACAGTAAGGTCACCCGTGTTAGAAATAAGCAAAGGACAAAAAATTAGTTCCAGCCCAGGCACACCACCAATGCCTTGGAGCCCACCAGGGGACCGGGGCTAGCAGCTGGGGACCAGACCCCCTTCCCACAACCAGGCATACTGTGACAGCACTTCAGGGCCCTGTGTAGGGGCCCAAGGCATGGAGAAGGGGACCGCATCCCCCTCCCACAACCAGGCTCACCATGCCAGCACCTCGGGGCCCACTCAGGGACCCGGGGCGTGGAGCTGGGGATCAGACACTCTCCACAACCAGGCATATCACCAGCCCCAAGGAGCATGCCAAAAACATCTCCTCCATGTGGGTGGCCCACCAGAGCCATCACGATAACCATGGCTGCTGGGAAGGTGGCTAGATGCCACAACCACCATGCAGATGGTCCGCTGGCCACTGGAGTGCATTGATGCAAGGAGTCACCAGCAGAGACAAAGAAAGGAGGAAGATGTCTCTCTCCACAGAGCCCATTTCAGAGTGACAGAAGAAGCATCTGCTCTATGATAGTATTGGGAGACCTGATCATGCCTCTCAGCACTGGACAGATCATTTGGGCAGCAAATCAATAGAGTAACCATTATTCTTTCAGAGGGAGGGAAGAAATCTAGGGTGATTAGAGGGGGGAGGGGGAAGGGAAAGGGTAATGGGGAGGGATTAGACAAGGGGCATAAATAATAATTACAACTTGTAACAATATATATGCTAGTAATATTGATTTGATCTACATATCTCAATGTTGAACCCCAAAAATATGTATAATCAATTTTGATTCAATAAAAATTAAAAGAAAAAAGAAAAAAATGTATTTAGTCTTGCTATAGAATTTAAAAGCCAAATACAAAGTCATATTTATGTTAAAAAAGAAAATCTAATATTTATTCCCCACTTTAAAATTTATTTTTCTACAGTTTATTTTTAGCTTGTTTTTTAATTTTGTTTTGTTTGTGAACTGCAAAATCAAAATTTAGAAAGAAAAGGGAAAGTAGCTAGTATTTATTGCATATCTACTATGTACCTGGCATCCTCTGTGTGTGTGTGTGTGTTTGTGTATGTGTGTGTGTGTGTGTGTGTGTGTACTTCCTCCTTAAAATATAGTCTTGTAGGGAATAGATAATTTGACCCCATCTTACTGATGAGAAGGTGAGGCTTAGATAGGGTAAATAATTTGACCAAAGTTAAAAGCTAATTAAGGATAGACTTGGCAAAGAGAAGTAAAAATGAGCTTTATCTTTCATAGACTTCCTATTCATTGGTGGTGTTCTTACAATGCTGACTAGTAAAAGATGAAGGTAATAAAAATTTTCGTTCCCAGAACAGAAGTGTTTGAGAACATTGTTTAAAGATTTATGCTTCTACTCAAAACAGAAGATCTAGTTGTGTTGCTAAATGCCACGGGGAAAAAAATGCCTAAATTGCAGACTGATACAAAACAGATGTGAATTCAAATCTGAGTTCCGACATACTTGTTTGTAGCTTTTAGCAAGCTACCTAACCAATCTGAATCACAATTTTCTCAGCTATAAAATTCAGAATAATAAAAGGTCACTTACAAGGTTATTATGAGAGCCAAGAAGAGATATATAGGAATGCATCTATCCAATGCCTATCAGGGTACTTAATAAATATTAATTTTATTTAAAACCTTCAGGTCCTAGAATTTATCACTGATACATGATACATGAAAAAATATTTAGCATTTTCCAGTTATGTTATTGATCAACTTTACTGAATTTGAATAAGCAGTATTACATATTAGTAACTCAGTAGTAACATACAAAATTCATCAATTGATTTTTTTTTTCCAAATCTCTCATAAGTAGGTAACTAAAAGACATTGCCATATGAAAGTTAATTACTAGTCTCTATGGTATGAACCCATTAAAATTTATAGGTGAAATATGCTCCATATGGTAAACATTCAACACATGCAGGAAACTGGAAACTCATACTTGCAGCTGACTCTCACTGAAGTCAACTCCCAGCTCAGTCATCAACTCTGATTCTCTCATTCATCGTATGGTAAATCTCAACTAAATGTCATACACACGAAACAAAGGCTTAACTGCATGTATAGCTCTTTCCCTGGGCAGGAGGTGAAACGGTGTGTTCACAAGTAAACAAAGAACCTAGAAAAACCGTTGTTTTTGGCTCTTTCTTCCCCCGCATGTCTGATCCTCCTAATTCTTTCCCCAAATGTCCTCCTTTTCCACCCCCCATCAAAATATGTACTCCAAAAAGTATGGGATTAATTCATCCTCATTAAAGTGTAAATAAATTATAAAGCTTAATGTCTCCCAGGGATATTTATTGACACCACAATTGGGAATAAGGTCACTGGCTTAAATGAAAGGAATGAGAGCCTAGTGACGAATGATAAGTATCTGCAAAACAAGAAAAAACTATTTCAGTCATGGGAGCCTTCATGTCGCTAAGTCAAATCAACAGGCCAGCACAGACACTTAAAGCAGGACATGTCTATCAGTTACCTCCCTAAAGCTCCTTTATGCAGTCCCCCAAAATATTTATTTCATAAAGGAGGTGATCAGGCAACACTTACTGATTAGAGCTACAAGGGCCTCTTTCTGGTTAGGCAACTACCAGCACTAAGACTGCTACCAAACCACCACCATTAGCTTCTTGGGATTCTCGGCTTATATCCCAGGAGATCGTTGTTAAAGTTGCCAGTGTGGGTGAGAATGATCTACTGCTTAGGAAGGGCCACTGGGTGAGGTGGAAACCTGCCTCCACTATTATATATAACCCAAATCCCACTACTCAGAGCAGTAGTTGCCAATAAAACAGAGGATGATCTCAGCAAAGCAAATTTTGAGATCAGAAGAAAAAAGTCCTTCCATGGTTGAACAAGTATCTGTAATGTTTGTAATGTTTCCCACTGGAATCTCTACCAAAAGACTGGAAGAGTTTTTAACACAAAAGTGTCATTTATCCCCCCAGGCAGGATCAGGGCAAGACTGCTGAGCTTCCCTAGAGTAACTTACCTGAGATCCATATCTCCGTCAACCCAGAAGGTGAAAATGTTAGAGATGGTTCCCCCTGGGCAGCACCCCATGATGAGAACACCAATCGCTTGGGCTGGCTTCAGAGAGAAGCTGACGGCCAGGAGATACGCTATAAAAGGCATGAGCCCAAACTGGCAGAGCAGTCCAACAGCGATGCCCCAGGGTCTCCTGATGTGCATCCATAGCTTCTGGATCTCCACGGAGCATCCCAGAGAGAACATGAGCAGACCCATCATCACAGCTGACACCACTGTGAAAACAAGTTCAAGGTTCCCATATGCCTCCAGTCCCACTGGCAACTCCTCCACCGAACTGTTGGCAGGGCAAGCTGAGCTGCTGGAACAATTTGCTGTCATCTCTTCATTTCCTTAAGGCAGTGTTACAAATGAACGTCGGCAGCAATGGCACAGCAGGTCTATCCTGCCACGTTTTGTAACAGTGCAGCAAAGTCATGTGTGGACAGTCATTCCAATAGCTATTGGCCAGTCAGGTGATTCATCCTACTCTAATCAATTTATTCACAAGTGGCATTATAAAAGTAATTATCACCGGCATGAAACATATAATAAACTGTTGTAAGTAAGGCTTTCTACTTCTGTTCTTACTCACCACTGAAGATTTAAGCGAAATGAGACAAGCAAACTTATTGTCAAGTGGAGTGACCAGGCTATGTCATCAGCATTACATTGTGTTCCAGAAAAGCAGGTTGGATGCCAAAACATAATTTCTCCAAATTCAGTAGGGATTTCACAGAGCCAGGATGCAATGTTATGTAGAGAAAAAGGCTAACTCTGGAAAAAACGAAGGCACCTAGCCAAAGCCACGCCTCGTAGCACTAGCAAAGCATTTCTGTTGGAAATATTAAAGCAAAAGAAGGCCAGTTAAGGAAATATCAGAAGGGACTAAGAATAATTTCAAAAGAGCTTTGGAATCTGTCTCAGTTTTTCTTCTTTCTATTTCTATTAGAATTTTTGTCCAAAACTAATAAACACCTGCAAGAATAATATGGTATTGAGCATCTATGTCTTATGAAACTTGTAGAAACTCACTTCTTTATCTAAAATAATTCAAGGAAGCAATCACTTTCTTTGGGAGGTAAGAGTCTACTTTGAGACACCGCACCCGTGGGCCCTCTGGTGAAGATTGGAATCCTGCAATGGAATGTAGTAAAGAGCATGGTCTGGAATCTGGAGACAGGGTCAGAGACAGCCTCTGATGGCAGTGCCCCAGGGGCCCAATGCGCATTCTAACCAGGCACTGTTGGCGAAACCAGACAAGGACAATATGGTTCCGTGAAACTAAACCTCCAAGAAAGCAGGTGCCACACCCTTTCTCACAGACAGCACAAAGTGTATTTGTGGGGCACAGGCTGGTAACAAGGCACAACAATATGGTTCCGTGAAACTAAACCTCCAAGAAAGCAGGTGACACACCCTTTCTCACAGACAGCACAAAGTGTATTTGTGGGGCACAGGCTGGTAACAAGGCACACTTTATAAACGCCTCTACCTGTCTAAAGAGGGACACTAGCTATGCATTGTTTATTCTTGTATTAGCACATTCTTTTCCATGACAAAATGCTCAGAGCATGTTGGCTGTAAAAATACAAGTTGAATACATACAAGTTGAATAAATTCTATTTGAAGAAAGGATCAACTGCAAACACACCCTGAAAGCAGCTCTGACTAGAATCTCACTGGAGGCCATCAGGGGTCAGCACGAGGGTGTATTCACGCACATTGTGAAACAGGTCAGGTCTCTGGAAAGCTTTGTATTCCCAGAGTGAATGACACAGAAGTGTGGTCAAACTGAGAAGGAATGGAGGATGGAGAGACGTAACACTTCCTGAGCACTTCCAGGTGACAGGGTTGTGCTTTACACATATGTGGCTATGTCTGGTAGAGCAAAACTTTAATTTTTTTTTTTTTTACTTATTTCGTAAGAAAAGGTGTCAGGTGCTTCTGTCTGGATGATGTCAAAGTCCCTTAATAGATCTTCTTTGTTCCCTGGAAGAGTCACTTGAATGGCCCTATTTAGTTATACAAATTGAAGTTTAGAAAGTGCCCCCATTCCTGATGAGGATGGTGTGACAGGAACTTCTGTGATTTGCTGGGCACTCAGTGCTGACAGCTGGGAGGAGGGGGCTACATTTGCATAGTGGCCTTAAGGAGCCTCCTGGGGGAAGAGAAAAAGGTGACCTTGGCCAACTTCCCTTTTGATTTCTCTTTTTGGCTAATAAATTATGGTACAGCCATACAATGAAATATTATAGAGCTATTTAAAATGTAAACATCATTTTAACAAAGAGAAATACTTATGTTAGAAGGTTAATCCCCCCCAAAATCAAGATTAAATGGTATAGACAGGGCTGGCCAGTTAGCTCGTTAGGTTAAAGTGCAGCCTTATAACACCAAAGTCAAGGGTTCAGATCCCCATATTGGCCAGTAACCAAAAAATAAAAATAATGATAATAAAAGCAGAATTTTAGCAAAGTAGATAAAGTGGTATAGACAGAATGCTCCCAGCTATGTTAAAATAAACCCAGAAATCGACTAAATGAAAAGTCTCTAAAATTTTCACTGATTGCTTCTGTACATAAAATTATGAATGATTTTTTTCTTCTTTATATTTTTTGCACTATCTACTATCTTTGAAATTGCTTTCAACTACTATTTCTATAATCAAGACAAAAGGAACTGAAGAAAAAGGAATAAAAATAGAGGAAGTGGTGGTTATTTCAAGTAGCTCCCCAAAAGTTGAGAACAACCTGATGCCTCCATGAGGAGCCAGGCTGTTGAGATGACTCAATTGTTGTCTCGTTCTTAGGTTTTCATGAGGGAACCTGACAAATACCGAAGCTTCCAGGTAGGAGATCCCTGCAGAAAATGGAATGAAAGGGAGTGGGGATGACAGGTAGGACAAGTCAGGGCCTAGAGAAGGGTGGGCAAATGGGATGGCAAGTATTTATCCTGAAATAGCACCTGCTCCACCTTCAGGACAAAATAACCAAAGGGGAAAATAAAGCATCTTGTCAACAAAACCAGCTGGAAAGACACGTTTATCCCACAGTGGCAGCATGCTATTTATAATAGGATTTGTTGTCCTTTTCCCAACAACCTTTTCTGGCTTCAGCTCACCAGATCAAACATTATTAAGATTATAATCAGAAATTCTGGGCCGGCCCGGTGGCGCACTGCTACAGTGCGCCGCTTGGGAAGCGCAGCGGTGCTCCCGCCGAGGGTTCGGATCCCACGTGCAGACCGGCCGCTCACTGGTTGAGCGAGGTGCGGGAGCAACACCGAGGGTTGCGATTCCGTGGCCGGTCCTGGTCCGGTACGGGCGCGACACTGAGGGTTGCGATCCGTTGCCGGTCACTAAAAAAGACAAAAAGGAAAAAAAAAAAAAAAAGAAATTCTCACAGCCTGTTTAAATCCTAGAATTATGAGAAGAAAATTGATTACAAGTTGTAATAAATGAGATTAATGAGGTTTTTCAGCCATGAGCAAATTACTAATCCTGACAACAACTACCATCTATTGAGTCCTCATTATGTATCAGGCCCTGTGACAGGTCCCTTACATATCTCGTTTAGTTCCCCCAATGACCCTTTCGAGCAGGTACCATTATTACCCTCATTTAGCATGAGTGAAAAGAGGCTTTTCAAGATTAACAACTTGCCATGGGCTAAGCTAGTAAACAACAAGTGAAGATAATGAAAGTTGACTCCTGGGCCGAGCCCATGGCGCACTTGGGAGAGTGCGGCGCTGGGAGTGCAGCAGCGCTCCCGCCGTGGGTTCGGATCCTATATAGGGATGACCGGTGTGCTCACTGGCTGAGCGCAGTGCAGCCGGTCTCAAAAAGGACAAAAAAAGAAAGTTGACTCCTGAGTGTATATATATGAAAAAATAAAAATAAAATAATAAAAGTTCATGAGTTTCACTTGTATAAAATATTATTCTTGCTACTCAAATATCACATCCTGATCATTGCTATTCGCTTTACTAAACCATTAATTCATGTGCCTTACAAGGTGCTGAATATAGGTGCACAGTATATATATTAACTGACATTCTGAAAGAATAATATCCATGCTGAAAGGATAATATCCTAATTTACATGTCTGGATAACTCTTTTATTTTGAAGTAATCACCTGATTCAAACATTCATGATCCTAAATTCAAAGAATATTTTCTAACATTCATTATTCATTCTGAACTATTTGTAGTGGACTTCCTGAAAGAATACATAAGCAAAACAGATCCTTGACCACATCAACCAATCACCCCCCAAAAAGAGGATGGAACCAGAGCAAGTCAGAAATTTTACAATCCTGTGAAAGTGGACATTCATCCTTTCCCTGCACACTTTCAACCAGAAGTTAAACCCTGAATCCACAACTACAAAGGATCAGAAATGTTTTTTCTCCACCCTCACTTTCTAGGCCAGAAGGACATGCACCTAGTGAGTACTTTAGCCAGAACTAATCAGAATAAAGAGTGTTGCTGAGCTCAAGAATTTCATAGGAAAACCAGGGATCAGTCCTTGGCATCTAGTACAAACTGCCAGCCTTCTGTTCTGACCACTTCTAGCTACTATGCCTGGGGCATTTTAAGTGCTCAATAAATACTAGCTATTTTGGCGGTGGTTGTTATTAATAACATCTGTTGCATATAACCCAGAAAAATAACAATGTCAGAATCAAAACAAATAAATTCTTTTTTGCTCCTGCTTCCAATTTCCTGATTTGTTTTTCAAAGCCCTTTATTAGTAAAACTTTGAAATTTCTCTTAAATACTAAAAGAGCCATGGGAAAACAAAAAACATACATATTTATCATGTTATCCCATGATGAAAGGAGACCACCATTAGGAAATAACCCTCCTCTTATTTTGAAGGAAGTTATGTCAGCTATTTCGACTACTTGTATAAAGTCCTTTTAATACTGTTAAACTGCAGTGCTAGAATTCTGACAGTCACTCTCCTGGGGACATCTGAGTTTTGATGCAACAAACTACCTGGAGAGGGAGGTAGTGCAGGTAACCCAGGCCAGGAAATGTTTGGTCATTTGTTCGGTTCAGGGCATGCTTGTCCTACATAGTTGGTGAGAGCAGGAAACTAAATTCCAACAGAAAATAGTCATATGGTGAGCAATCTCTAAAACAATAGGAGACAGGGAGTATTCTTCTGGCACTTGGAAGAAATTGCTTTGACTGAGAGCTGATATGATAAAGAGTTTATCTGATACAGGAAAAAATGACACCTGCAATTGAAGTCCACAAAGGAGATTACACCTACATTCCAATGCTGAGAAAGTTTCGAAGTGAGAAGCAAGTTACAGAGTGGAAGTGGATGATTAGAAGTAAAGGAGATGGATTGACACAGCATACGAATGGAAGGCAGGAGCTTATTATGAGAAAATCCCAAAACGGAGCCAGAGCATCCTGGCAGAATGGCTTATATAACTTTTTTCTTCTCTAGGGATCAATTAAGACTAATAGATTA